CAGTTTTATCAGTGTTGACATATTATCATATTATGAAACAAGACGTATATATATATAGTTATCCATATTACATGCACACACATACAAAAGTCATTGGAAGCACTCGAAAATAATATTGTTGTACATTTGCAACAATCGATAATGAGAAAATGTGTTGGTAAAAAGCAAAATACTTGTACCTAAATATTGGTAAAGGTTTGAGGATGATATGACAAAGTTGGGTGGGAGGGGGTGCGTGAGGTTGACCCACCCAGCCAAAAAAAAATGTTTTCTTAGAAAAGTTTGAAGTTCCAAATTTTGAAAACTAGGTTCCAATTAGTTCCAAATTAGATCCAAAATATTAGTGAAGGTTCGAGGTTGATACGACAATGTGGGGGGGAGCAACTTCACGTACTTCTAAATGATAGGTACTTAAAATATTATGAGTGCGATACGGCAGCCAAGCCGTTAACAACCAGTTAATAATGATCAAAAAATAAACTGGGATTTTAAAAATATTGTCTAGGTATAGAATCTATATTATAGACAAAGAAATCGGTTGGACATTTGCAACAAAGGTGATCTACGTTTAGCATTGACCAATATCAAACCAGATATCGCTACATTAGCAGCTACTCATCAGGTTCAGGGCAGTCATTGATAGGTATAATTTGTATATTTTATAATTTTTTTTTATAGTTCAGTAAATCTTTTTGTATAGTAAAGTATTAAATTGTTTTGTTAACAATATTTCTTAAACTATAACTATCTAAAAATAAGAGTTTTTACTTTAATAGTTTMATTAATAATGTTATAGGTAATATTATACTGATGAATAAGTAAATATACAAATATATATACCTATATATATTTATAAGAAGAAAATTTGATTTTGCACGAGGGGGGGGCGTTAGCAATTAATTATTACGATAAAGGGGGCGCTGAACTAAAAAAGGTTAAGAACCACTGATCTGTAAGAATAGTAGAAGCTTTATTTATATTTTATTATACATGTATATATGTTTATATATATATATATATATATTATTTATATTTATTCAGTTATAATTAGGGCTCGGAAGTTGTTGCATTTGCATGTTTTTTTTTTAAGCATTAAATTTATCACTAAGTGAGCTAGAAATTCATTCCAAGGCAAAATGAAAAACATAACGAAAGTATATAGGTATAGTGCATATTTTTGCATATTTAGTGATTTTTAGATTTTAGAGCATAGGTAGGTGCTTTATAATTTATGAAGATTCAATATGAAAATTCGTAAATAATAAAATAAATATTGAGAGAACTTAACAATAGTAAAATAGATATAGATATTCATGTACGTATTTTTCAAAATTCCATTTGATATTTAAAACAATGTTTTCCGTTTTCCCCTATTGATAAATATAATTCGTATATATTGATGATTTATATAAATTAGAATATTATACAAAATATCAAAAATAGAACAACTGCTATCAAAATTTGATGATTTTCTATATAAATACTTTTTTAGTAAAATAGACATCTGACCTACAGCCTAACCCCAGTTTCAACTTACACTTCTGTGTTACCTATAGTTCTACATTTCCTTATTCTTGCTTTAATTACCTAAACTATTTTTATTTCATTATTCCGAAAAACCAAACAATCTGCGATAAATCATTATTTAAATAGTTTTGTGTTTTAATGTGGTATATATTACTTTCTTTTTTATATATTCAAAATTTTATATAATATTTGTGCAAATGAACATTTTGCGGAAAAAATAAAATAAAATTGCATATTTATATGTACTTTTTTAAGCGCATAAGCGCATGCATATATAGTACTTTTTAAGTGCATAACTCCGAGCCCTATACCCTATAGTTATTATTATTGGTATATAAATAAAAAGGACCCTTTTGATCCATTTTAATAAAAATTACGTGGCCCAATAACAAATTATGTATACCATTTAATATATAATTTTTTTTTATTGTAGCCCTATATTAATTTAATACTAATAATGTAAAAGAAATATTGTATACTTATGTGACTTCGCAAATTCTTATCATAAATATTAACCCATATTATTTTAGCAAAAAAAAAAATAATAATAATAATAGTAAATAGGTACTTTTTACAATATCAACAGAGATTAAACAAGTTTTTTTYATTTTCTCGATAATTTTTCATATAAAATACCAATTACACTTCAAAATAATAATTATTCATTTACAAAATCAAGAAAAAGTTTTTTTTTTTTATCAAGCAATACGAGGAAACTAATAAAATAAATAAAATAAAATATACTGTCTGTATTATATTGTAATAATTATGTTTATTTGAATTATCATAGTTACTTTAAATACAATAATCAACATATTATGAAAAACAAACAATTAATCTTAAGTTGTTTGTTTTGGTTTCAATTCCTCAAAGCACGATCTTAAAAATATATGCGGCGTTTTACTTGGATCATAATTGGAAGGACCCTGAAAATCAAACAAATAACAGAGTAAAACATTAAAAATAAATTGAGACAGAAGTTATTGTTTTATTTCTATTAGTTAGTAGGTATAACCTAATTAAATATTTCAATTTGTTTTACAACTCTAATATGAATTCTGATGTTAAAATATTTATAAACTTTTCTAAATTCAATTTTTTACTCAATATTACTGAATTTTATAGAATTTTAAACTATAAAACTCATTTTAAGTGTTAAACGACCATAAGTTATCTTAAAAAGTTATCAAATAATTATTTCAAACTAAAATATTTCGATAATATCTTTAAATAGTTATTTAAATATAATAAACACATTAGGACAGTTTATTGTATTTTTTTTTTTTTAGTAAAAAATTGAAAAAGGTTTCCAAAATTATAATAACATTAACTCCGGATGTGATTATACCGGATGACTATTTATCATKGAACACTTATTATTTCAAAAAGTGTAGATATGTTGAAAAAAAATTTTTTCACTGTTTCTAGTCATTAAAAATAAAATTTTTAAAAATATTTCTATATTTTTGAAGTTTTTTTGTTTAGTGACAACATACCCTTTTACTTTCATATTTCAAAGCAAAAATTTTTTTAAGTATTTTGATAGGCACATACAAATTTAATTTAGGGCAAGTAGTTTATATAAGTTATTTATGTATAGAGCCTGGATTTTTATGTTTTTGTACATTTTTTTCCTTTTCACTTTTTATATGTTTGTTCATCTTACAGTAATTGAATTTTACTTCTAAATTGTTATTTTGCATATTTTTGCATATTTCGATGAATGTGATGTCGCGAAAAAATTTTAGTCGATAGGACGCTGAATTAGCGATACAGTTTTAGTTATCTTAATTTAAAATACGTACTATATGTAACATATTACATATACATAAGAAATAGTTATAATCTCATCGTTAACGAAGATAACTTATCGATGTGATACATTTAATTTTATAATTTAACCTACGAGTTATGAAACGAAAATTTAGTAAACTGTTACAGTTTGTGAAAGAAGATCACAGTTTGATCAACATAATGAAAACAGATTATAGCTTAAAAGTTAAAAGTTAATTTTGTAATGGGAATGTAGTACAGCGGTACGCGAATATTCCGCAAAATTTTGGTCTACTACCCTAAACTTTAAATACTTATAATAACGCATAAACACTTATAAGCCATTCGTCTTAATTCGATTTAAATGTATCGAAAAACTCAGAAAAATATTCTGCTTTCGAAGATGAAATGAAAACTTTTTGTTGAAAATGTATACAAATTAATAAAATATGAGGATAAAAAAAAATTAATCAATAATTTATGTTAGAAATCCGGTTTATATTATCCCTTTGGAGGTTCCTTTAAATGTATCACATTTGTAAATAAGTATTTAATATTAATTTGGTATCTATTTGGTAGTCGCCAGTTATCGTTTGCGCATCACTATTGTTATTTTTGACCTTTTTGTTAGACAGATGCATATCGTTCAATTTTGGATTATACATCGTTTGCGCGTCGATCGTTTAAAAGGTCGTATATCATTTGCACATCAATATTATTTAACAATAGAACTGCAAAAAAAGGTGCATACCCAAAAGCACAAGTTGTTTTCTAACTAATACTTTAATTTTAAAATTCGTACATCTCTAAATTTACTCTCGTAATATTGTAAAAATAATGGGACATTACAATATACCAAATAATAATTTATAATATTGTTTTTCCTTTTTTTCCCTGATAACAAATTTTTACTCAAACTATATGTATACTATATTTATATTATAGTTTATAACTATAGCTGTAATGTGCCTGATTGAACACAATTTATGTATCTTTATGATTTTTAAACTTAAAAATCTTTAATTATTCTATCTATATAATATTCTATGTATGTACATTTATATAACTATAACAACAATTCAATCAAATTAATCCAATTTATTTTAACTGTTTCTATTTATTTATTTACTCGTATTATATAATATGATTCATGGCAAAATTGAATTTTTAATCGAAAATTATTTTTATATCTATTATTCAGAATGTTGATGCGCATATGATGTACGATATTTTGGAAGAGGTAAACAGAAGATGCGCAAATGATATACGGCCGTGGTAGTTTTAGACCTTAGGGTAATTAATATACAAACATTTAACCAGTCAAATCCAGAACTGTAAGCAAATATTTGACCATTGTTACTAAAACAACATTTTGTAATCGGTTGGTCTAATATCTCGGATATCTTCAATCTTGTACGTGAATCTTTATCCCAAAATGCAAATGTGGCATCAGATCCCACAGTTGCGAATGTACCATGGATTGGATGAAACTTGATATCATTAACCTGTAAGGATATCGTGTAATTAAGAAATATAAAATAGTTTGTCTTAACAAATAGGCACTTACGGGATAAATGTTTCGCATAGGTGGTATTCCCATGATATTTCGATAGTGGCAATCAAATGAGTAAATAGCTTTGGTTGTTTCTGGTCTGAAGTTTGAAAAAATAGCTCCTTTTCCTGCTAAACTTCCCAAACCAAAACCTAAAATACAACCTCTTATATTTCTATACTTGCATGTTAATATTAATATTTTTTTTWAATAATATTACTGACCAATAGGAACTTGCGTTATCTTATCTTTGAATATTGAAACACAACGAGTTCGAGAATTAAAAGGAGAGTTTGAACAATCCACTAACATTTCAGTTAAATCTAGATTGTAAGTAAGTATACCATTTAATGCCGTACCGATAACCACATTTGGATACTCCTAAACAATTAAATGTTGATATGTAGTACGTCTTATAAAATAAATAGTTGAAAAATACAATATTAAATGAAAAAAAACATTAGTTATTAAGTAGACGATTAATAATTTATATTTTTATAAAATTGTATGATATAAACTTACMACGTCAGCACAACAAACTGTGTCGCCTATATTAATATTCAATATGGGACTTGGATTTCTAAGATCCCAAAACTGTTAAATAAAAACAATACAAAATATAATACTTGAAATACATAGTTAAATATTTACAGGAATTTAAAAACATATTAAAGTGAATTATATATCAAACGATTTAATACCTACTGGAAAACATCTCTATTTAGAATGTAAGTACTAATTTTGGATTCGGAGTGATGAACTTTTAGATTTTATAATGATGTGTTTTTTTTTAATGATTCAAGAATTCAAAATTTAAAATTTCTATAATTTTTCAAAACCACCCAGAAAACAAATAAAAATAAAAGTAAAAATAGGAATTTTTATGCGGAATTGGTTATTGGTGTATATAATTACCGGCAGTTTGATTGAAATTAATAGAATTAAAAACTAAGAAACGGAAATTAGAAATTAGAATTTTAAATGTTAATTAATAAAGATTATCATTTATAGTTCATTCTGTCACCAAAAAATCTAAAAATGATGTAAACAGTTATATTGTTCAGAAATTTTAAGTTTAAAGTTTTAAAAATTTGGTCGAAATCAAATTAAAACCAAGAATAAGTTTAGTAATTTTATTGTAATTTAAAAATATTATCMTTGATTACTTAATAGGTTCTTCGATAGTACACCATTGTATTCAAATATAATGGTATGATGTGCATTGTGCAAATATTTCTTCTATTACCGGCTACCGCAGTATTAATAATAACATATTAATATGTAATATAAAACGCCATGTATAGGTACCCGGGTGCCCGTGTAGATAAAGCATATACAGTCTCATACCTGGCRTTATATTATATATGCAGTGTTGCCTTTATAGTGATACCCGCAATGTCACTCACTCACTGTGCTGCGCTCAGACCAAAAATTTCGATAATATCTCTCGACTTACTATACAACATCACCTCAAGTTAGGTTACATGGTAAACGCATAGATAATAAAGATATGGGTAAACGCCGTATAACCACTCTTATCATTTCCTCTTATCACACACGGCCACCCGGGTATCAAGACACAGACAATATAAAATATCCTAGACTGACAAACAGTCTCCACTCAGAATCGTTTTTTGTATACAATGATAATTATAAATCTTTGAATACTTACCATACAGGAGATCATTACCCGTTTGGTCATTTACCTTCCTAGTACATGAATATTTTACAAAAATAAAAAACAAAACAATTTACACACCTTTAACGTTTTATCCCACGAGCTTGTCATAATACAATTATAAGGTGGTGTTTGAACCCAATGACAAGTTTTTACGGGTGCATCGTGAGTTGCCACGTGCATTGTTTGATTTCCTTCTAAATCCCAGCATTCCACATGATTGTTACAAGATGCCATGAAAACCTTGGTGCCGTCACCGTTCCAACAGACGTCAAATACTGGCATGTTCATAGAATACATGTATTTTGGCTCGGCTTGACAGTTCTCTTTGACTTCCCAACAACGTACCTAAGATGGAAATCAAATAATCTCAACTCGATACATCGTTTTACGTTTATATATTGTTTATCTTACGGTTGAGTCCCAACTACCCGCAATGAGAAATGTTTTCTGCGACGTGGCCGGACTAAACTCCATTGCTGAAACGGAATCATTGGGAGGCGACATGACTTCAAAATCATTATTAGGGTTTATGGGATTCGCCATTGTCAACACACTTCAAGTCGCCTTAGTCTATAAACCCATTTACAACGAAACAATAATTTCCGATCATACATTAATACACTAAATATTAATCGACTTACTTAAGTTGTGGACGAGCTTGCTGTATCCGTCTTTATTTATTATCTCACGTGTCCGTATGGATGTTGCCTTCGGGACCAGCGGATTCACACAATTGAGTTACTATAAGAAATATACACGGCTGGTGGGCTGCGTTGGTCTAATAAAAAAAAATTTAACTCAGAATCAATCTGGTCGAAGCTAACGCGTTATTGTAACATTGATAGTTTCAAAAGAAGCCCAGAAAAAATTAATATTCAGAAATATCGCACTTGAGCGTGTTGTCTCAAATAATCATGGTAAAAACAAAAAAATAAGTACGAAAAAATCTAAGATCGTTTGAATTTCACTTATAGGTATCGCAGTTAGGAGGGGGTTGCGTGAAATACGGACGGAGGGCTGTGATCACGTACGTGTATCTGGCAAAACTGACCGCGCTCGTCGCGTACGAGCGAACCCTGTTGGCCTTCATGTGTGTCCCTCCACTCCCCCCGTCATATGTGTGACAGCGCTGATCTTGCGGTCTGCGGACTGGCGGTGAACAAGGAAACTCGTTGTAACGGTATCGGACAAACATCATTTGAAATTTAAGCATTTTTCGGTTCCGCTTTATGGTAGGTTACAACGACTCACCACAAAAATATTAGGGGAAATTACAAAATATATTGATCACGAATGCGTGCCAGTGTGTGTGTGTAGTAGACTGGTCGGTGGGTATCATGAAAATGGACTATATTGTTTCTGAAACCTTAAAATGTGTTATAGAAAACTTATGGCCCTTGCAAGGGTACAGGGAGGGTTGATGGAACTGGATTACATGAAATTAGCTACTCCGGGACTCTTTGAAATGAATTTTATAATTTTGATAGGAATACTTATTTTATATTAAGTAATATTTTAAGGAGTTAAAAWAAAATATTTAGTACAGTGGTCCAAAATATTAATTCAAATAAATCATAAAAACTAATATAATAATTTGTCTGATAGGACTTATAAGTTATCATTGAGTGATATTTTACTAATTTGGTTTTCGATTAAACTTCGCGAAGAATTCAAACGTGTTTTAAGAAGTCTTGTCTGACGAGACTTGTGGATCATCAGAACAATTGGATTAAAAAGAGTCTATTATTGATGGATCGAGTACTTTGAAAACGTGTATGATGGGTATATAAATTTTTAATTGTATCTAATCCGTGAAACAACTAGGTCGACTTTGGTGAGTATTATTATAATAKATTATATTTTATTCTAAAATATTCTGTTTTTGTATATGAAATTAAAACTTTAAAAATTAAATGTCGTTTTTAAATACTTAAAAAAATATTTTTTTTTCGAAATAAGAAGTATTCAGAGAATAAAGAAGAACCACCCAGTGTATTTAATGTTTGGTATGCGCATTGGGTTTTCGAAGAAAATACGATTTCTCTTTAGATACCATCCCCTTTTATTATTTTTTTTATTGTGATTGTTTGATTTTGTGGCGGTGTCCGTGTGTATGAGTCTAATAATACAGAATATAATAAAAATGGTCCGTTCGAATATAAAATACAATTTATTGTACGAGTATTAAACGGCAGGGGTCTGACTGTCACAGTGGTCGAGGGTTAAAATATTCGTCTTGTGTGTGTGTGTGTGTGTGGACGCCTATAAATGCGTGTAAGTTACGATCTTAGAAGATAAGGTCGGACTACTTCCCCCCACCGACCCGTTGATTTGTGTGGCACGAGTAAAAATGTCACCTCATCGATGTTATATACAGCGCAGGAGGGTAGGTCGCGATACAAAACCTGTATCTACCTGCAGTATAATATAATAAATTCGAGAGTATAACGTTCATCAATAATAACATTACTATATAACGACTTAAAATAACGTGGTGGTGTCTTTTAGATCTGTCTTAAGGTGCCATTAAATTTTGTTAATTTTTGTTAGAAATCACTTAAAGAGTGGTTGTATGGCTGTCAGAAAGGTAGAGGGTTGAAATATTCGTTTTGTGTGTATGCTCGTGCGTGCGTGCGTTCGTGTTTTTGTGAATACACGGGTTTACATAATAATAATAATATGTGAGAGTGTGTGAACACCTAAGCGCGTACTGCTTAAGGCAGCAGTTCCCAACATTTTTAGTTGTGCGGAATACCAATAATGTACAAAAAAAACAATGAGACCCACTTACGCTGACATACAGTTATGAAATATAAACTCGCACAAATAAGACGAGAGAAGAAATATAGACGTGGATGTTAAGATCTCAATGTTGATTTCAATTAAAATTTTCCGACGCTGACGCTTGGCATAGACACTTGTCCAGCATCCACGGCCCAGTACTGCAGTATTACATTGTTTGCGCCGCCTTGGACCCCTCGGTCCATGGGTTGGGAACCACTGGCAGAAGGCATATAAGCTCTAATTAATTTTACATAACACGAACATTATATCGCTATTATTATAATTAGGCGATCTGCTAAGATACAGTGGCGTGGCAAAGAGTAATTTCAGAGGCAATTGCCTCTGGGATTTTTCAAATATTGGKGGGTGGGTATCAAGGATTGTACTTATTTACATGCAAATACATGTGGGGTGGGTCATCTATATGGAGGGTTGCCTCTGGAATATTTTTAGTTCACCACGCCACTGCTAAGATACATATATATATATATATATATCAGTATTATTCTAGATAATTAACCCAAATTTTACCTAATTTTACCTCTAAGGGAGTAAAAAAATCCAGTTATAGGTTTATCATGTTATGGACATACGAATTATCGAAATTTACTGTATTTTATTTGATATACTCTACAGCCTACGGCTCTAGAACGTAGGTGAATATTGAATATACAATGTATATAATTAGATTTTTAATAACTTTTGTATCGATTATTTTTGTACAAAATAATTGTTATCATCGTAATATTGTAAACATTTTTTTGTATACTATTTTTACTTCGAAGTATATCTAAATATTTTAATCCAAAAATAATCTTTATATTTAACATTATATTCGTAAATTAGGAATCTATTACTTAAATTTATATTTTTATATTATAAATTAAATGATGCTATATTAAAAATGATTCATAATAAAAAAGGTTGGTAAATACTGTAATAAATTACACGACTATTGAAAAAGTAAAAAATACTAAATACTCTCTGGAGGTTTTTTTTTTAAATAATTGACTGATAAATTCGAGTGGTTGTCTAGTCTGATTGTCAGAGTTCGGGGGTTAAAATATTTGTTTTGTGTGTGTGGTCGTGTATGCGTGTTCATGTGAGTATGGGCTATATAATAATAATAATAATATTATACTAGTGTATGTTTAGTGTGTATTGTGTAATCAACTAAATGCGTATAGTTTAGCTCTAATGGATTTTACACAAAGGCAACATAATTGCTGTTATTATTATTTATTATTAATTTACAATATGCAGCCGAGGAGGACAACTATAAGATAGGCAGTCGCAGTTTTTCGGCCAAAATTTACCTTCTTCCTTTCGGGCAGACTCAATATTCGGCTAAAATATACCCTCCCTTTTCGGTCAGTACCTACAGTTTTCTTTAAAATTTAGTGTCATACAAACTGAACTTAATATTATTGTATTTACAACTGTGATATTTTAAATAACTAATTTTGAATAATTGATAAGCATATTATTATTAGCTTAGTCGAATAAATAAAAATTAGTTTTTGTTTGAAAAATTAACTATTTTTATGGTCTTCATTATTCAGTGTAAGTTTAACATCACTCATAATTGGTTTTTTGGAAACATAGATACATCAGTATTATTCCTTATTGTTTGTTATAATATGCGCGAACCAATTAGTTATAGTTAGAGAGCCTAGATAATAATATTATTATTATCTAGGCTCTCTAGTTATAGTGATGTGTCCCATAGAATTTATAGATAATCAATATAAATATGGTAGTATAATATAGCGTAATGCCATTAATAATATACTTTAGTGTTTGACGTTTCCATTTTATTTAATATAAAATAATACATATATTAATGACATATTGTATTATTATAGGCATTTTGGAAATATAGGTATTATAAGATTATAATAATAGTTTTCATTAAACAATTGTATTAGGAAATATTAACTTTCGATATATTCATGAATGTATATTTTATCATCATAATAATTATTATATAGGTATTATAAGACTATATTCATTTTTTTTCAATTAAAGTACCTAATATAGTAATATTTTATAACAGTTTATTGCGAAGTATTGTTTTATTTTATTATTTTTTTCACATAGCTGTTGATAATAATGCAAATTAAAAAAATACTGGCCGAAAAGGGTGCCACCCCTACGCTAATTGGGAAAATCTAGTTGTTAGAAGGTTGTCTACAGGTAGGCAATATACGAGTTAGTTTTAGTTGTTCCTTACTGCAGGTACTTTTAGTACCTATATGGTTCCGATGAACTTTCATAATTATTGTGATCACTCGTTTTATTTTATATTATTAAAATACTTTTCAAATTACTATGGTATAGCATCTAACAATTTCATTTCCATTTTACATGGACGTTAAGACTGTCTAATATACCAAGGTATGGTTAAAATTTAAAAGTGTTACTATAGTCAGTTTCTTAGATATTATACCTGTTATACACAATATACATACAACTTATTATTTGATTAACATACTCACTATTGTTGATGAAAACAAGGGTGACCATATTCGGGGTGAATATCATGTATAATAAATCTCTTTCTAGTCGACCAAAGAATAATAATAAACAATAATMGCTTATGCATAATACAATATATATTCACATAAATACATTATAATGTATATTATGTTCCTTTCAACAACAAACAGACAGACACATACACATATCTTAACATCTTAAATGTATTTATATAAACAAGCCCGCCGACCTTCAGCAACGTCAGTGACAAATGATCAAGACAGACAGGGGTACCATAGGGGTAATATAGTTAAGTACTCCTAACCTACTCGTATTATATAAGGTTCTAATGAGAAAAATCTGTATATCAGCAATAAAATAAAATTGATAATTAAACAATAAACCATTTATAGAGAGCTTGTTGAGTTTTTTACTTGTGTAAACAATGGTAGTTATATTAAATACAAAGCTAAATTAATAATGTTGTATTAAAAAAAAAAGATATTTAAAAATGTAATTATTGATGTACGACACTGCCTTCTAGATTTCAATAGTATCAATTGTCCAATTTTAAAAAAGATTGAAACTAATTATGTCTAGGTATTATATATTATRAATATAATATATATTGGTACCTACCTACTTAGGGGGCTATTGGAAAAACTGTATATGTATACCTATTGTCTTATTGTATTATGTTAAATTCTACTTGAATAATATTATATAAGATTATAATTTATAAATGTATGTATACAATATTGATAAAATAATATAGATATGCGATATGCACATTATCATGCACCTATGGAAATCCACGCATAATGTAATATACATAATATGTTTTTTAGATTATAGATTACAAAAACAAGTCTAGCCAACAGTTGCTGTACATATTTAATATAATATTATGCGTGAGATAACTTATTTCGATAATATGATGCTAACCTCGACTAGTCGACTAACATACTTGTACCATAATTTAATTTGCGTTCAGCAAAACCAATTTCGTGTAGTTAGCTTTGTTATTACAAAACTTTTAAAAGCACGATTATAATTTTGAACAAAATTGAATTGTTAGATTTTATTCTAACTTTTGTAGGAAATTTATTTTCGATATTTTAAAAAGCTTATGTACTATATGCGGYCTACGGTTCCAAACGAATTTACTTAATTTTTCAAAATTAATATGTATTTTAAAATGCCAATGAGACAAAAAAATTAAACATAGAGAAAAGAATAACGAATTCAAATTGGTATTCAAAATTCAAAGGCGGGCAAGCCAATGAAAATAATTAACTCAAGTTAAATGACGTTATGATCAATAAGTTGAAAGTTAACAAATAATAAATTTCACTCGATAAARTTAATTTATTCTTTATAATTAGTATGTAAATCACATACTACATACAGAGACACAGAGTGACTGTGTGTCTATCTAATCTAATTAAATATATCAATATACAAAATTATTTTATCAAGAAAAAGAACAGAAATGTCTGTTTTATTATTATATTGGATTATTTTTATTTTGTATTAATATTTAAGTATAAACGTTAAATTTAAAACTAGATGGCTTATTTTTAAATCAACTGAGAAAATCTAAGATATTTCAACTATCAATTAAACTATATAAGTTCATATAAAGTTGATCAGAAAATAAATTAAATAGTTAATGCCCACCTTTATCAAAATTAAAAGTGAACTGTTAGAATTATATTTATTTTTCGCCAGAATATTGGTCTAAATACATAAAAAAATCCAATGGCTTAAACCTTAAAGCCGCCTTAACATCAAACACCTAATAGGCTCAATTATTATATAATATACAATTACTCTGACTAAAACACGATGCGTTAAGGTGCTATTCAAGTACAAACAAGTGAAACAACTAATGGAGTGATGGAAATATGAACTTTCACGGTAAAATGTTAAATGATAAAATACATTTAAAGCAATAAATAATTTTGCCCTTGTGGGATAGTAATAGTTGTAGGTCGGATTTTAATATTGCAAAATATGTACGACAAATCTTACATTTTCGATTATTGTAGATTGTTTACATAGTTTAAAAAACCATATACTGACTGGTCATAAGAAATAAGTAACATTTATAATATATTATATTTAACTGCAGAGTCGGTGGTACAATGCATAGATAGTATACATAATATGGTYGACTGTGGTGCAGTGAAATCGGCCTTGAACGTCACAGCTTCCTCCACAGTGAGCAGTGTTGTACTCAAACGTGTTAACGACTTCTATTGTCGACGGTCGACCAGTTTATAGAATTTGAATACGATGCTAACAAATTATTATGGCACCACTCCCTCCCTCTAAGCATTCGGCAGCAAACCACTGTACAACTTCTATATAGGTCAAACAACACGTGTGGGAAGTTTTTATACTTGAACGATTTTTTCTGTACATCGTGTCGACCACGATAATATTATTATATCCTGCAGCATAGCGCATGATATTTTGTTGGATATTCTGTTCTAAACGTACCACGGGGGATCCTACCCTTATAAATCAATGTCAATAGGTCGTTCGGCGTTAAAAGCCAAATATAATCGACCGTAACWCGTTTTGGTACATGTTGTATCAATATAACTTACTTCAAGTACTCCGCTCTTTTCACGAGGTATCAGTTATTATTCGACGGTATCCAGCTATTTACGAGAAAATGCTATTGTTGTTAACACAATAACCGCCATGTGTCCGTCGGTTGCCATAAATGAAAATGGTTTTGCATTGTATACTATTGATGGCGCCACAATATTATAATTATGGCTGGGATTTTAATGCCCTAAAAAATTTCAAAAAATGCAAAAATGACTTTAAAAACTCAAAAAATGCATTTAAATTATATTTATTATAGGTTAAAAATTAGAAAAAAATTTAAATTATACTACACTAATTATACTACGACGACGGACRTACTAATTGGTTACTAATCCAGTAATAGTTATCTAAGCCTAGCTATGATAAAATTGTTATAGACGATAACTTGTACCTATGTATGTATGTATGGTGTAATAAAAATAATAATTCATAGTAGGTATAATATAACGGTGATAATTTTCGGGGAAAACCCTAGCTATGATGAANGAATTCTTGAATCATTAAATAAAAACAATACAAAATATAATACTTGAAATACATAGTTAAATATTTACAGGAATTTAAAAACATATTAAAGTGAATTATATATCAAACGATTTAATACCTACTGGAAAACATCTCTATTTAGAATGTAAGTACTAATTTTGGATTCGGAGTGATGAACTTTTAGATTTTATAATGATGTGTTTTTTTTTAATGATTCAAGAATTCAAAATTTAAAATTTCTATAATTTTTCAAAACCACCCAGAAAACAAATAAAAATAAAAGTAAAAATAGGAATTTTTATGCGGAATTGGTTATTGGTGTATATAATTACCGGCAGTTTGATTGAAATTAATAGAATTAAAAACTAAGAAACGGAAATTAGAAATTAGAATTTTAAATGTTAATTAATAAAGATTATCATTTATAGTTCATTCTGTCACCAAAAAATCTAAAAATGATGTAAACAGTTATATTGTTCAGAAATTTTAAGTTTAAAGTTTTAAAAATTTGGTCGAAATCAAATTAAAACCAAGAATAAGTTTAGTAATTTTATTGTAATTTAAAAATATTATCMTTGATTACTTAATAGGTTCTTCGATAGTACACCATTGTATTCAAATATAATGGTATGATGTGCATTGTGCAAATATTTCTTCTATTACCGGCTACCGCAGTATTAATAATAACATATTAATATGTAATATAAAACGCCATGTATAGGTACCCGGGTGCCCGTGTAGATAAAGCATATACAGTCTCATACCTGGCRTTATATTATATATGCAGTGTTGCCTTTATAGTGATACCCGCAATGTCACTCACTCACTGTGCTGCGCTCAGACCAAAAATTTCGATAATATCTCTCGACTTACTATACAACATCACCTCAAGTTAGGTTACATGGTAAACGCATAGATAATAAAGATATGGGTAAACGCCGTATAACCACTCTTATCATTTCCTCTTATCACACACGGCCACCCGGGTATCAAGACACAGACAATATAAAATATCCTAGACTGACAAACAGTCTCCACTCAGAATCGTTTTTTGTATACAATGATAATTATAAATCTTTGAATACTTACCATACAGGAGATCATTACCCGTTTGGTCATTTACCTTCCTAGTACATGAATATTTTACAAAAATAAAAAACAAAACAATTTACACACCTTTAACGTTTTATCCCACGAGCTTGTCATAATACAATTATAAGGTGGTGTTTGAACCCAATGACAAGTTTTTACGGGTGCATCGTGAGTTGCCACGTGCATTGTTTGATTTCCTTCTAAATCCCAGCATTCCACATGATTGTTACAAGATGCCATGAAAACCTTGGTGCCGTCACCGTTCCAACAGACGTCAAATACTGGCATGTTCATAGAATACATGTATTTTGGCTCGGCTTGACAGTTCTCTTTGACTTCCCAACAACGTACCTAAGATGGAAATCAAATAATCTCAACTCGATACATCGTTTTACGTTTATATATTGTTTATCTTACGGTTGAGTCCCAACTACCCGCAATGAGAAATGTTTTCTGCGACGTGGCCGGACTAAACTCCATTGCTGAAACGGAATCATTGGGAGGCGACATGACTTCAAAATCATTATTAGGGTTTATGGGATTCGCCATTGTCAACACACTTCAAGTCGCCTTAGTCTATAAACCCATTTACAACGAAACAATAATTTCCGATCATACATTAATACACTAAATATTAATCGACTTACTTAAGTTGTGGACGAGCTTGCTGTATCCGTCTTTATTTATTATCTCACGTGTCCGTATGGATGTTGCCTTCGGGACCAGCGGATTCACACAATTGAGTTACTATAAGAAATATACACGGCTGGTGGGCTGCGTTGGTCTAATAAAAAAAAATTTAACTCAGAATCAATCTGGTCGAAGCTAACGCGTTATTGTAACATTGATAGTTTCAAAAGAAGCCCAGAAAAAATTAATATTCAGAAATATCGCACTTGAGCGTGTTGTCTCAAATAATCATGGTAAAAACAAAAAAATAAGTACGAAAAAATCTAAGATCGTTTGAATTTCACTTATAGGTATCGCAGTTAGGAGGGGGTTGCGTGAAATACGGACGGAGGGCTGTGATCACGTACGTGTATCTGGCAAAACTGACCGCGCTCGTCGCGTACGAGCGAACCCTGTTGGCCTTCATGTGTGTCCCTCCACTCCCCCCGTCATATGTGTGACAGCGCTGATCTTGCGGTCTGCGGACTGGCGGTGAACAAGGAAACTCGTTGTAACGGTATCGGACAAACATCATTTGAAATTTAAGCATTTTTCGGTTCCGCTTTATGGTAGGTTACAACGACTCACCACAAAAATATTAGGGGAAATTACAAAATATATTGATCACGAATGCGTGCCAGTGTGTGTGTGTAGTAGACTGGTCGGTGGGTATCATGAAAATGGACTATATTGTTTCTGAAACCTTAAAATGTGTTATAGAAAACTTATGGCCCTTGCAAGGGTACAGGGAGGGTTGATGGAACTGGATTACATGAAATTAGCTACTCCGGGACTCTTTGAAATGAATTTTATAATTTTGATAGGAATACTTATTTTATATTAAGTAATATTTTAAGGAGTTAAAAWAAAATATTTAGTACAGTGGTCCAAAATATTAATTCAAATAAATCATAAAAACTAATATAATAATTTGTCTGATAGGACTTATAAGTTATCATTGAGTGATATTTTACTAATTTGGTTTTCGATTAAACTTCGCGAAGAATTCAAACGTGTTTTAAGAAGTCTTGTCTGACGAGACTTGTGGATCATCAGAACAATTGGATTAAAAAGAGTCTATTATTGATGGATCGAGTACTTTGAAAACGTGTATGATGGGTATATAAATTTTTAATTGTATCTAATCCGTGAAACAACTAGGTCGACTTTGGTGAGTATTATTATAATAKATTATATTTTATTCTAAAATATTCTGTTTTTGTATATGAAATTAAAACTTTAAAAATTAAATGTCGTTTTTAAATACTTAAAAAAATATTTTTTTTTCGAAATAAGAAGTATTCAGAGAATAAAGAAGAACCACCCAGTGTATTTAATGTTTGGTATGCGCATTGGGTTTTCGAAGAAAATACGATTTCTCTTTAGATACCATCCCCTTTTATTATTTTTTTTATTGTGATTGTTTGATTTTGTGGCGGTGTCCGTGTGTATGAGTCTAATAATACAGAATATAATAAAAATGGTCCGTTCGAATATAAAATACAATTTATTGTACGAGTATTAAACGGCAGGGGTCTGACTGTCACAGTGGTCGAGGGTTAAAATATTCGTCTTGTGTGTGTGTGTGTGTGTGGACGCCTATAAATGCGTGTAAGTTACGATCTTAGAAGATAAGGTCGGACTACTTCCCCCCACCGACCCGTTGATTTGTGTGGCACGAGTAAAAATGTCACCTCATCGATGTTATATACAGCGCAGGAGGGTAGGTCGCGATACAAAACCTGTATCTACCTGCAGTATAATATAATAAATTCGAGAGTATAACGTTCATCAATAATAACATTACTATATAACGACTTAAAATAACGTGGTGGTGTCTTTTAGATCTGTCTTAAGGTGCCATTAAATTTTGTTAATTTTTGTTAGAAATCACTTAAAGAGTGGTTGTATGGCTGTCAGAAAGGTAGAGGGTTGAAATATTCGTTTTGTGTGTATGCTCGTGCGTGCGTGCGTTCGTGTTTTTGTGAATACACGGGTTTACATAATAATAATAATATGTGAGAGTGTGTGAACACCTAAGCGCGTACTGCTTAAGGCAGCAGTTCCCAACATTTTTAGTTGTGCGGAATACCAATAATGTACAAAAAAAACAATGAGACCCACTTACGCTGACATACAGTTATGAAATATAAACTCGCACAAATAAGACGAGAGAAGAAATATAGACGTGGATGTTAAGATCTCAATGTTGATTTCAATTAAAATTTTCCGACGCTGACGCTTGGCATAGACACTTGTCCAGCATCCACGGCCCAGTACTGCAGTATTACATTGTTTGCGCCGCCTTGGACCCCTCGGTCCATGGGTTGGGAACCACTGGCAGAAGGCATATAAGCTCTAATTAATTTTACATAACACGAACATTATATCGCTATTATTATAATTAGGCGATCTGCTAAGATACAGTGGCGTGGCAAAGAGTAATTTCAGAGGCAATTGCCTCTGGGATTTTTCAAATTTTGGGGATGGGTATCAAGGATTGTACTTATTTACATGCAAATACATGTGGGGTGGGTCATCTATATGGAGGGTTGCCTCTGGAATATTTTTAGTTCACCACGCCACTGCTAAGATACATATATATATATATATATATCAGTATTATTCTAGATAATTAACCCAAATTTTACCTAATTTTACCTCTAAGGGAGTAAAAAAATCCAGTTATAGGTTTATCATGTTATGGACATACGAATTATCGAAATTTACTGTATTTTATTTGATATACTCTACAGCCTACGGCTCTAGAACGTAGGTGAATATTGAATATACAATGTATATAATTAGATTTTTAATAACTTTTGTATCGATTATTTTTGTACAAAATAATTGTTATCATCGTAATATTGTAAACATTTTTTTGTATACTATTTTTACTTCGAAGTATATCTAAATATTTTAATCCAAAAATAATCTTTATATTTAACATTATATTCGTAAATTAGGAATCTATTACTTAAATTTATATTTTTATATTATAAATTAAATGATGCTATATTAAAAATGATTCATAATAAAAAAGGTTGGTAAATACTGTAATAAATTACACGACTATTGAAAAAGTAAAAAATACTAAATACTCTCTGGAGGTTTTTTTTTTAAATAATTGACTGATAAATTCGAGTGGTTGTCTAGTCTGATTGTCAGAGTTCGGGGGTTAAAATATTTGTTTTGTGTGTGTGGTCGTGTATGCGTGTTCATGTGAGTATGGGCTATATAATAATAATAATAATATTATACTAGTGTATGTTTAGTGTGTATTGTGTAATCAACTAAATGCGTATAGTTTAGCTCTAATGGATTTTACACAAAGGCAACATAATTGCTGTTATTATTATTTATTATTAATTTACAATATGCAGCCGAGGAGGACAACTATAAGATAGGCAGTCGCAGTTTTTCGGCCAAAATTTACCTTCTTCCTTTCGGGCAGACTCAATATTCGGCTAAAATATACCCTCCCTTTTCGGTCAGTACCTACAGTTTTCTTTAAAATTTAGTGTCATACAAACTGAACTTAATATTATTGTATTTACAACTGTGATATTTTAAATAACTAATTTTGAATAATTGATAAGCATATTATTATTAGCTTAGTCGAATAAATAAAAATTAGTTTTTGTTTGAAAAATTAACTATTTTTATGGTCTTCATTATTCAGTGTAAGTTTAACATCACTCATAATTGGTTTTTTGGAAACATAGATACATCAGTATTATTCCTTATTGTTTGTTATAATATGCGCGAACCAATTAGTTATAGTTAGAGAGCCTAGATAATAATATTATTATTATCTAGGCTCTCTAGTTATAGTGATGTGTCCCATAGAATTTATAGATAATCAATATAAATATGGTAGTATAATATAGCGTAATGCCATTAATAATATACTTTAGTGTTTGACGTTTCCATTTTATTTAATATAAAATAATACATATATTAATGACATATTGTATTATTATAGGCATTTTGGAAATATAGGTATTATAAGATTATAATAATAGTTTTCATTAAACAATTGTATTAGGAAATATTAACTTTCGATATATTCATGAATGTATATTTTATCATCATAATAATTATTATATAGGTATTATAAGACTATATTCATTTTTTTTCAATTAAAGTACCTAATATAGTAATATTTTATAACAGTTTATTGCGAAGTATTGTTTTATTTTATTATTTTTTTCACATAGCTGTTGATAATAATGCAAATTAAAAAAATACTGGCCGAAAAGGGTGCCACCCCTACGCTAATTGGGAAAATCTAGTTGTTAGAAGGTTGTCTACAGGTAGGCAATATACGAGTTAGTTTTAGTTGTTCCTTACTGCAGGTACTTTTAGTACCTATATGGTTCCGATGAACTTTCATAATTATTGTGATCACTCGTTTTATTTTATATTATTAAAATACTTTTCAAATTACTATGGTATAGCATCTAACAATTTCATTTCCATTTTACATGGACGTTAAGACTGTCTAATATACCAAGGTATGGTTAAAACTTAAAAGTGTTACTATAGTCAGTTTCTTAGATATTATACCTGTTATACACAATATACATACAACTTATTATTTGATTAACATACTCACTAATGTTGATGAAAACAAGGGTGACCATATTCGGGGTGAATATCATGTATAATAAATCTCTTTCTAGTCGACCAAAGAATAATAATAAACAATAATAGCTTATGCATAATACAATATATATTCACATAAATACATTATAATGTATATTATGTTCCTTTCAACAACAAACAGACAGACACATACACATATCTTAACATCTTAAATGTATTTATATAAACAAGCC